AAGACGCGCGCGCGCGCGCGCGCTCTGGCCCCGAACTTCGCCGCGCTGTTACGCTCGTCGTTACTCGCCGCCAATCGGAACTCGTTAAACCGCGCCGACAAATGGGCAAGAAAAGTTTTCGAGGGGGAAACGTGTCACGCCGCCAGTTTTGCGCGACAATTTCTCACTCGAGGCCTCGTTGTGAGACCACGCGAGACGAGGGAAAGAGAGAGAGAGAGAGAGAGAGAGAGAGTATCGTTACTCGAGGCTCAAAGACCCCGCGGACACGGGGAACGAGTAATTAAGCGCGTTGCCGGGGAAAAATATTTTCCGACCCGTTTTCGCCCCGCTCTTAATGAAATCGAGGATCCGACTTCGCGTTGCGTTGCACTCCAGTTTTCTCTAGCTTTATTTTATTTTTCTTTTTTTTTTTTTCTTTCCACGCTTTTCCTCCTTTTTCGCGCCGCGAGCTCCAGTAATTAAAGGGGGCGTGACTTTTCGCGTTCGCTCGATTGCACACCCCCTTCCGACTCGAGATTCATTTTTCTTTCACGATTCGTTAAAATAAAAAAAAAGAAAAAGAGGGAAGGAAGGAAACCAGAAGGACAATTAAACACCCGACGGGTTGTTCGTATATTTAAAGTCGGTATCCCACCTGGTCTGAGTCTAAGATGAGGAGTTTGGGCGGTCAACCACCGATTAAAAGAGTTTCGTTGTCGGAGCCGGACACGATTAACGGTTAAAAGTTTCGAGGAATCGAAAGGGGAACTCGCAAATGGCTCTCGCGCGTCTAATTTAAGGTCAACCCGGTGCGGTAACGTTTGACACACACGTCGCATTGACACTGGCTGCAGGAAGAGAGAGAGAGAAAGAGAGAGAGAGATCCACTCCATAGAGCGTGCGTGGACGCGGCGATTAACGCGACGACGACTTTCGAACCAGTGGCCGTTTATCTAATGAATAATCCCCTCCTCCCGTGACACGGCCGAGCCCGTTTCTCACACACGTGCCTGTGCCTCGAGATTCGGCCGAGCTCCCGGCGAGGCCCCCCCACCTTCCTCCTTCCTCCTTCCTCCCTCCCCTTCCCCCCTCGGTTACCATGGAATTCGCGCCGACTTATCCGCGGCGTGGTCGAGCCGAGGCGTGGAACGTAAATTATTTTCACCGTCGCGGCATCGTCGCAACGATATTTGCTCCGTCCTCGCGTGGCGAAATTTCAATTTAAACCTGATTTACCGCCTCGCCAGAAAGAATTTCTCGAGATGCGGTGGAAGGAGGAGACGCAATCGAGATCGGAATATTTCGTTTCGCGAGGATCGAGAAACGGCGGGGGAGGGGAGGGGAGGATGATACGTATTCGCGTTGCAAAAAGGTAGACGGATTCGGCTTGATGGCGTTGATGATCGATAGAACTGGGGTAATTCGATTATCTCTACGAACGAACGGTTATGGAAACGGGTCAAATTCCCTAGTATTCAAATTGCATTTCCAATTATATCCAATTTCCCCGATTTCGGATCCCAGATTTCGATTTATTCGGAAGTTGAAGGCGTTCCGATACGATCGGATAGAAAGATAAATTGAATGAACGACAGAAAAAGGCGGGTTATTTAAATTTATACCGAGGGAAACGGTTGTTCCGCGCGCGTTTAAGAAGGTAAACGAGGTTGCACGCAAAGCGACCTACCCCTACGAGGCGGATAGTAGGTAGCGAGAGAGGATAGGTTTTCGTCCCTTTCGCTCGGAGAGATGGGAGGGCGGCGTGGTGGCTCCCGCGCGCGCCCTTCTACGCATCGCGAAAGAGAAGGGAGAAAGAGGGGAATGCGGGAAAAGAGAAGAAGGAAGGGAGACGGATGATGGCTCGTCTCTCTTGGCTTCGAGCTTTTTGAAATAATCACGTAGTGTTGAAGAAGCGGAAGGGCGCGAGAGGGTGTTGGCGGGCGAGAGGGGAGCAAGAGGGCACTGAGGGGTTGATTCAGTGGCTGAGTACCTTTCCCTCATTGTGGCACGAGTGTATCCGTGGCTCGAGGACTCGGGGACCGGCTCACCCTTGTTTCGGTGGCCATCGTCGCTCCGCCACCCCTTTGGGATATCCCTCAGGAATCTACTCCGCGTCTTCCTTCGTTAGTTGGCCGATCCGTTTGCTCGTTCGTTCGTTCCCTTCACGCGCTCCGACTCGTGCCACCAACGCTTCCTTTCAATCGTGTTTCCCAAACAACCGCCAAACTTCCGCCACGTAAATGCTGGCTGAACCGATTTTTCATCCCCTTTCCCTCGTTTTTTCGCCACGAAAAAAATTATTCCTCGATTAACGCGCACTCTTCGCCTCGAGATTATATTTCTCGCGTTCCTGAACCGACAAAAAAAGAAAAGAGAGAAAGAAAACGAACGTGACCCGGTTCACGATACACCCGGAAGAAATTACTCGCATTCGTTTTCTTTCCTCTCGTCCCCACGAATTTCCCACTTTACCCATCGTCCCTCGTTTTAACCATCCCTCCTGCGTCCCAGGCCGCAAAACAAGTTCCAAGTGGAAAACATTTCGACGCGGACTCGACGATCGATCGAAATCCATTCCTCCCCCTTCCCCCCCAGAAAAG